GAATCTGAACTCGAGGCCAAGTCTGCCGACGCCGGCAAGGTTTCTGAGCTTGAGAAGGAACTCGCATCTGCCAAGTCAGAACTTGAGGCCGCTACCAAAGACTCAGAGTCGTCGAAGCAGAAGATCAGCGAGCTCGAGGCTTCCGCCAAGGGTGGTGCCGATGAGTCTGCTGCCAAGATTGCTGAGCTTGAGGCATCTCTTAAGGAGACCACGAGCAAGCTGGAGGCCAAGGAGGCCGAGCACTCCGAATCGCTCAAGGCCGCTCAATCATCAAGCGAAGACAAGGTTGCTGCTTTAGAGAAGGAGCTCGCTGATGCTAAGGCTGAAGCTAGCAAGGCTGCCGAGCTCGAGGCATCTCTCAAGGACGTCGAGAGCAAGCTTGCTGCCAAGGAAGCTGAGCACGCCGACTCCATCAAGGCTGCCCAATCATCTGGAGATGAGAAGGTCGCTGCTTTGGAGAAGGAGCTTGATGAGACCAAGAAGGCCAAGGACACTGTTGAGGAGGAACTCAAGGCATCCAAACAGGCTGAAGCTGAGGCGAAGGAGAGTGCTTCTAAGGCGTCCTCAGTCGAATCCGAACTCGCTGAACTCAAGGCATCGGCTGAGAAGTCGACTACTGAGAAGAGCGAGCTCGAGGAGAAGATCAAGGCTAACGATGCTAAGATCGCCGAGCTCGAGTCTACCGTCGAGGCCGCTAAGGCGAAGGAGTCCGAACTCACCGCACTCCAGACCAAGCTGGACGAGGCTACCGCCGCATCTGAGACTGCTACCAAGGACCTCGAGACCTCCAAGACCGAAGCTGCCGATGCTAAGAAGTCCCTCGAGTCTCTCCAGGCCACCATCAAGGAGCACGAGGAGAAGACCAGTGCCCTGACAACCGACATCGAGACTGCAAACAAGGAGCGCGACGAGATCAAGACCGAGCTCGCCAGCGCCAAGGAGCAACTCGAGAAGGCCCAGGCTGAGCAAGAGGAACTTAAGAAGGTCAACGCTGAGGCCCTCGCAAAGGCTGATTCAAAGGAGGCTGAGAAGCCTGCGGCTGAACCTGTTGCTGAACCTGCTGCTGAGCCCGTCGCTGAAGCCAAGGAAGTTCCTGAGGCCAAGGAAGCAGAGGACACCCCCGCCCCTGCTACTGATGGCGCTGCCGAGACCGAGGAGCCAGAGACACCTACTACACCCACCACGCCTGGTAATAATGCCGAGGAAGAGGAGGGTGAGGCGAACGGCGAGTCGACACCTAGTTCCGGAAAGAACAAGAAGAAGAACAAGAAGAAGGGCAAGAAATAAACGCTCTAACGCTTGTTTAACCACTTTTCCTACGAGCATCGCCACGTCGACTATGAGTTGATTTGGGAGGTTACTGTTGTGGATGACAGATGAAGAAAAGAAGGAGATTGAGTTGGGAAGTTGCATTATACCCTTGCTGCACTGGCACCACTTACTTGGTTGGTGGCTGTGGGAGGACTTTAGACTGTTTTGTCGTACCCTTTTTTTTCTGGTTGTTTCCTTGTTGGTTTGATCGATTCCTGGTTTCGATCTCTCCCTATCTCTCTCCTCCTCGTTAATGACCGTTCACGCTTAGCTTGATGAAGTTTGGGCACATGAGTATGAGATGGATGAATGGAACATGAGTCATGTAGATAATGAAAGAACTACCTTTGCGTTTACACACACTTGATTGGCTTCGCCTTAGCTTTGTGATCACAATCTGCAGTTTATGATATTAGTGGTGGTGTCATTTGTTTCGCGGTATTGGTAAGAGGGTTTGTCGTTCATGGGTCAACGTCATGGCATGATCTGTTTCGAGATCTCTGGACGTTGAAAGCTGTAGAACGAAGACCTGTGACACAAGGGCACAATCTACTAGTTGGACGCATGGGCAATTGGGGGCTGCTCCTGGGTACATGTATAACAGCGGTTAGCTGTCTCGTATCTTTTAGGTTCATTTCATCTACTGTCAACCAGGATGAAGGGAAAGATCCAACACACCCAGGAACAAGAGAAGTCCGAAAGTGCCACACAATGCAACAACAAAACAAAGAATTCATCCAACAGTGCCTGCCTATGGAATCTCTATAGAATACTACTTTTATAAGTTTCTTCATACTTTAATGCTATTGTTGTGCGTCTAGGTGCAAAAAAACCTACCTTCGCTTAGAAGTCTTTGGTATTTACTTTCATCCCAGTGTGTCTGAGATCTTGTCATATACATCACTACATCGAATTATGATATTGAAGTCCCCGTTCTTCCTACTTTTACCATTGACAACTGCGACAACATCATTAAATGTCCCTGGTGACGGACAACGCACTGTCGAGGTTTGTAAAGTAGCCGTCGATTGATTCTCTGGCATTCCTTCATCTCGCATTTTGTAGTCGGTATATGTTCCTCCTTGATCCACTCATCATCCTTCTTATCAGGTCATGCTCAATTTTACACGAAGCTTTATATGCTAAATCCTGGCAAGTAGCCCGAGGATAGCTGTTGTTGAAGTGCATCCAGGAGACGTGGTCTGGACCATACGAACACCCAGAAGACTACAAGGTTTACAAGGAGGTGCCGTAGCCATGGAAAGACATTTTGGCAGTAATGTGAAAACAGCCAAGTTTCGTTGGTTAGCATCAACGGTCGAAGTCACCGATCTTGGGAGCACAAAGATGCCATAGAGACTAGTCCTGAGCAACAAGGTTTGCGGGTTCCCGAGATCTGTGACAACGTCCAATTTGGAGGATATCAATGCTGATGACGTATTGGTAGTGCTAGGATAGGAACAAGCGCAGGCGATTTTACGGTGAGAGACCATTAGCCGGACGTTGACAGCTTACTTGTCGTACGGCTATGGCCTGTCGCCGACTTGTGCGTGCGTGGCTGGCTAGATTCGTGTGCCCCAGCGGTGAGCAATGACAATGCGTGAAGATGATGTAGTTGCTCATCTGTTTCGACCCGTTCACTCTACTTTCTTTGCTCGCTCCCAGTGCAGATCCGCGCTGTAATGACTAACACAAATAGGAGTTGTGAATAGAGTTGGTAACATTGTTCACCTTTGGTTCCATTTCGATAGTTGCCTACAAGATATGTATTGATGGAATGTAGCTGAGAAATCTAGCCTTGCATTGGGTGTTAAGGAATGCTAATTGTCTCTGCAGAATTTGTCGATAAGTGCTTTTTCCATCGTCGACCCTGGCACACCGAGAGTAATGCCGTGAAAGCCATGGCGTCCTCGTCGTACATCGAGATCTAGAGAGAACTACGTCTGTGTTTACTTAAGCTTTCTATTGATATCGGTAGACAATTTGTAGCCTGCTTTTATAACAATCGTAAACAGTGCGCGTGGCGACTTCTCGAATTGGGCCCTTGGCATGGATGTTTTTGACCGGATGCAAAGGCACTTGAATCTCTTACTTGGGCAAGATCATCTCAGATTTGGTCTTCATGTCTCAGTACGCGGGTCGTCAAAGACAAAGGACCATTCCAACTCATTTTGTTTTGAATGAACATAGCTCATCTCCCTTTTGACGCACCATGACGATCATCCTCCCTCTCTTGACACTCGAGACATAGGTCGCCTCACTACTTCTCCACCAGTCTGGACAAGTGATGTGTCTAGCGCTCGGTGGTGCGTTTAGGGTCCCTTTTTCGCTCAACCGACATCGTGAAAAGCAACATCAACCGGACTGCACGTGCGTCCGGCTAGCATTAGCCAGGAGACTGCTTAGCTGATCTCTCCGAGTTCACTCAAGTTTACTGTGGCGATTCTCTTCGCGACCTTCTTTGAAGAAAATCGTGTCTTGGCCTTCTGGGCTCGTTCTTGTGCGGTGATCTGGGGGCGCTTGGAGAAGAATGCTCTATTGAGTTGGAGGATTGACGGAAATGGACTTCTGGTGCTGTCGCCACGAGGGTCTCGGAGGATACTCCGGGATACATGCGGGAATCTCCATGCAATGCAGTGCAATGGTCATCTAGCGCATAGCATATATGGTAGATTTTACAATGCGATTGACGAAGTCGTTGAAGTGCATCGTGGTCCTAAATCCGCCGACATGCATGATGTGATCGCCCTGCCCCACTTTGGCCGGACCGAGCGGGCGCTAAGTAGACACCGAGGACCCAACGATGTTTGCTCTTTCTCGTCTCCCTTTCTCAGCCTCGCCTTCTCGATTTCGTTGCTGCGATGAGTTCGCATATGCTATTGTGTCGTCAAGCTAACATTTCCTTTGCCTTCACGGAAGTATGCTTGGTCACGGATCAATTGCTTGGACTTCATGCCGTCTTCCTTGAAGTTTTGAAGAGCCTCTTCGCCTTCTTGCGCGCATAGCTTCCAGTCTGGTTACGACGTCTTCCCGAAGCTTTGTTCTGAGGAACACAGCATCAGTCTCTAACGATGCCCGCAAGCTAGCACTTCAAGAAGTGTAGATCCTTGCCATCCTATCCGGCATGGCATTCTCCAGAAAGAATGAGAGCAGACTATCTTGGGCATCGTAGGATCTGCTGGTTCTCGTTTCATCTGACGAAGGCTCTGAATCAACGGTTCACGCCGACTGTGCGCATTGTTCAACACCAAAATTGATACCAACCATATGGTGCATGGCATCTAGATATGTGGTGCGCACTGTTCAACATGATGCGACCTTCCGATCTGACTGAGGCAAAGGCTGGGTGCTGGCCATGAGATGAATTTCATTCTAGAAATCTGGAAATCCACCGAAGACTGGCCGTTTGAGCTAGTTAATGCAGTCTGATACCTGGTAGATTTAATTAGCACAGATCTGATCTTCATGCTTGCAGTCACTGCTCTGGTGAAAAGCAATGTCAGTACCGTGCGCTGAAAGAAGCATCTGAACAGACACCGACATTCGAAACGTTTGAGTATATAAGAATAAGCCTCCATGCCGTCTTCTTGCTCATCAGCTCAACAACAACAACTCAGTCACTACTACAGTACTTTACTTTACTTTAATATTCTTACGATCATTCATATCGAACTTAATCAAACGCCAACATGAAGTTTCTCGCTCTTGTCATCGCCGCTCAGCTCGCTACCGCGCTGCCTGTAGCCAAGGAGGCCTGCGCTTCGACTGATGGTACGTAGCACTCATTCTTCCAGTCTTTTATGCTCAGTATATGGGTCTGTTTTCCGCATCACAGACAAAAGCTTACGTTTACAGTTGCCTGTATGGCACAGGATGTCCCTAGTCAAGTCCTTGATCCTGTCACTGAGCAGATTGACGGCTCTACCAAGTCACTTGAGAAAGCCCCAGTTCGCAGCCCCAATAGGCGCGACGAGATCGAGGACGCTCTTTCCGGCATCGACATGTCTGACATGCCTGAGAAGGGAGAGCCCATCCCTGCTCGCCCAAGCGAGCGTGACACCGTCACTCCTTCTGCTGACGACGTTGCCGATGCCGGCCCAGACGTGTATCAGGAGACATACGACATGGTCCCCGAGGCGACTGACGACTCCTACGGAGAGGTTCTCCCTGAACTCTCTGACAGTCTGGCCAAGAAGGGTATTTTCGACGACCTAAGCCTTGACAAGACTCTCCCTGAATTCGAGGACTCTTATGAGGACTCTTACGAGACCGTGCCTGAGGTCACCAGCGCTGCCTACGAGGCTGTGCCTGAAGTTACCAGCGCCGCTTACGAGGCCATGCCTACACCTGCCGAGGCCGCCTACGGTGCCCTCCCAACCCCTACCGACGTATACGAGGCCGCTCCCACTCCCAGCGATGTCTACAACGTCGCTCCCGTCAAGCCCAGCAATGTCTACGTCCCTACCCCCACCAAGGAACCTACCTACGGCGCTCTTCCCACTCCTATCAAGGACACCTACGAGGCTGCCCCCGTTGAGGACACGTACGACTCCCTTGACTTGGACCTGGACATCTTCCGCAAGGACTAGATCAATCTGGTCAGCTACGCCGGTGTGTGATGCGAGCATCATGCGAGACCGAATACAGCAGTTGCGTTTGTCTGCCTGTATCTAGTCCCAGCCAATACGGCACCTTTCCGTTTGTCTATAGCTCATGAGAGCGACTTTTACCACTCGCTCTGGCTGTTCAGTTCGCGTGTCCCTGTACTTTTAGTTTAGTATTACTTATCGAAAATGGCACTCATTCACATGCTTTTAGGCATACTCTACAAGATCTTGTTCCTTTCACCATTCCCAAACGAGTGCTGCATTATATTGAACACAAGTCTTTCTAGGTGAAGAATAACTCTGTTAGCATTGCGGTCTGCACAGACCAACATGGCAGTCAGAAGTGACGCTGTAGCATTGAACACATGAATCTTCTCTCTCAGCTGATGCAATTGGTACTCCAATTTTGACGTTCGGCCACAACGCGACATGGTAAGGCAAACCACGCGTATGCTACAAGAAAACAATTCTTCAACTTCTACATGGCCACCGAACCAGAGCCAAAAGTCTTTGCGCGCGTCTGCTTTCGACCCTGCAGTGAGCATTGCGTTATCCCACGTGGTCTAACGTGAGGTCAGCACCCGGACCCCAGCCGACCTGAAACCTGGCTACGCCCGTGATCTAAGCGTTCGTCTACGTCAGGTCGGAATGATCAGATGCGTCGAACGGCTGACCCGTCTTCATAAACATGGATGTTGAGTTGAGTTTGGCATCCTGCTGAGAAGACCCACCGGTTGCGCCGATCAGCTCTGGGTTATCTGATGAACGGATGATATGTAGGCAGAACCCGTGCAGTCGGGCGTGATTCACATCCTACCTAGCCTGGCGCATCGCCTTCCTCCGAATTCTTTTTTATCCTGAATTCTAAGTCCTAGTAAACGCAGCCTATTCCTGTTAAACACCGAACATATAAGTAACATGCACGTTCTCGTGGTGCGGACATATGAAACGTTGGCAAGGCACATATGCGGCGCAGTCGCAACGTCTCGATGACAGTTGTTGGCAAGCCTTCAAAGGACACTTCCAGGTGCATGGAGTTGGCTTCGGGTAGTCTTTGTGGGAGCATGTGACTTCGTGGCCAGGACCGATCGCCTGAACATCTGGTGTGACGCGGGTCCTGAGTGTCGGGACAACTGCTGGTCATCTGTCAGGGCCCCAGGATACCCACCGCTCATTCCGCATCGTTCCGACTGATGCGCGCGACTTGCTGAGATCATAGTCCATAGTAGATAAGCTTAGCTGATGCCTATATCGCATCGGCGACCGCGGACGGTGTAGCTCCTTGGCAAGAATTAGGCAGTTGTAAAGGCTGGGGCCAAAGGTGGCTGCGCCCTGTAATGTGGCGGAGCTCGCATAACTTGACATATTTAGAACGAAACAAGCCGGAAAGAGATGTTTAGAAGGATTCGCGTATGTGGAGGCGAGATTTAGTGTGTTACAGATGCATTGCGTTACATATAGTGTGGTTGATAGAGTAAGGAAAATGGGGAATCTTTGGAGTCCACAATAGATGGAGAAAATAACAAGGCAGACACCGAACCTTGAAGGTGTGGAAAGTAAAAGTGCCTGTGGTTGAGTAGCCGTACGAAGCTGAAGTGATGCGGCCTTTTCTCGAAAGAGACATGGTCTTGGAGCTTTGAAAGATAGCGAGCGATTAAAGGTGGATAGCGAACAGACTATTGGGTATAGAGGAACATGAGGAAACGCCAGTGTAATGCAGAGCTGACCATGCTGAATTTGACAAGGGTTCGCGATCAAGTTGTTTGCGTGAGGCATCGCCCGACTGCTCGCCATTATCCTGTACATGCTTGTTGACGATGAATCCGAAAATATGGTGAACGCCGCCTCCCCGGGGTATTATGCGTCCTGTGTCCAAATGCCGAAACCGCCGTATTCAACGCCAAATCAGATACCATATGATATTAAGAAAATTGGGAACAAAATTGTAAACTTGAGAAGATGTGCGAGATGCGCGAGGCGGATCTAGCGATAAGTGGTGTGGAGGAAGATTGGTGCAACACCCGATCGGGTTAGGCGGTCATGGATCATGCGGACATTGGCTGATCACCCGACGCTGATCAACGCCCATAACGCGTAGTCGTATCTGTGGCCCTGTGGACATTCTCTCCGAATCCTTCTTCTCCTACACCCTCGTCGTGTCTTCGCCGTATTGATGGTAGGTATGGGTTGCGGATATGTGGCTGAGGTTGGGCGTCGCGTTCTGTCGTGGCATTTGCAGCGAATGGGGGATTGGCGGCACTTCCGTTGCAGCCGAAGCACTTAGATACCCATAGTCCCAGGACCCTCGCCCCTCATGAGACATCGTTGAGGGGTATTGTGACATCTGATGAGTGGAATTGCTCCACGGAGTCATGCTCTGTCCTGGAGGTGTCCTCTGAGAAACCGGTATGCCCTGTCCTGCTGATCCTTCGAGCCCTGCTGCCACCTTCTGGTGGGGCGATAGGCTAGAAGAGGCCAAGTTACGTGTGTAGGCCGTTGAAGCAGTGGACGTGGGCACTGATTGTGGTGACGCGTTTCGATGGGCGCCCAACGTTGCCTGCGGGGTGGCGCTTGGAGCGTACGAGGAGGTTGTGGAAAGTGGGAGATGCCCAGCACCGGCCGTTGAAGCATAGCTAGCAGACTGGTCTTGTTAGCTTTTTGTTGCACAGAAAGTCGCAAAAGAACGTACATATTTGCTGATAATCTTCTTTAGTGCATGCGCGAGTATCTTCCAGGGAAATACTTTGACGTCTTTCTCGATATTGCGAGGTTTGGGATGGGGAAAGCCCATGATAACCTTGAAGAATCCTTCGCTATCTGGTCTTGCCTTCGATACGGTGAGGGGGCGAAAACCCTCGAGGTTGCGACGTATGCGATTTTTCTCCTCGACGGTAAAGCGTACGTTCACGAGTTGCTCCAGAAGATATATCGTGTCTACACTTGTGATGAAGCACTCGTCCTTTTCTTCCCACCAGATACAGCTGACGCAGATACGACGTGCATCCCGACCTTCCCCTGGAGTAGGCTCGAAGGAAGTCGTTATGGTGCTGCCATTTTGCGATCGTTCGAACCCAACAAGCCGTCTTTTGGCCTCCAACTCTTCCTGCGACCAATCGTCTGCCATCTTGTCAAGATCTCCGTCTATCTTTAGCATCGCCTTGCTCTGACTCATAGCATACGGGTTGAAAGGCCGGACTGAAGACGTGCTCCCACTCGCCTGCGCAAGATGTGTGGCTCGGACGAGGACTGGTGTAGAAATAGTGGACGGTGAAGGCAAGACGGGGGCGGTGGGGTTTCGACCAGTACTGGCGAGGGGATTATAGGGGGCATATGAATGCAGCATTGGCGACATCTGTGGAAGCTCGTATTCACCATGGCTCATGCCCATGCCTGAGGGTACTGCGTAAAGGCCTTTCTGCGGCAGTTGCGAACCGTAGTTTGCTGGCTTTGCTAGATTGTACCTGCTACTCTGTGCGTACGAACTGGCCAGCGCAGACTGGGTCGCCAGCGGTGACATGTGTGCAGCAGAATACGCTCCAGACATAGCGCGTGGCTTCGCAAACGTTCGCTTTGCAGCATTACCGTCGGAAAATTCTCGATCATTGCCAAACTCGGGTGAGTACTTTCGTTTTCTGGAGAAATCCGGCGATGATTGATATGCGAGGTTTGGCGACATGTCGGTATAGGTGAACTTCCCCGCGTTCGTTTGCGATCGTAGGTTACCCATCTTATCTTCCATCTGCAGTTTCAACATCATGGTTGGATCGAATGTGTTGGTCAGTGGGAAAGGGGGCACTTCGACGTTCAGAACGTAGTTGTACCACGATTCGTCGTCTTCGTAGTCGACTTTTTGAAGTGCACCAACGCACTTCTTTTGGCCAAACATGAGTATGAAGGTATGCTGGTTCGCATCAAGGTCGTAATTCGTTCGGAGTTGCAACGTTACCAGAGATCCAGCTGTACCTTGCGCAGGTGTAATCGGTTCGGTGATTTCCGTTTCAGTATCTGCAAGTGAGGCGGGATGACGAGCTATTGCGTCGATAAATGCTGGGTTGGATTGAACGTCTCCTATGCCGCGTGACTCGTATGTCGAGCTAGGGATGTAGGGCACCTCTGCACTCGTGGACTCATGGCCTAGTAGCGCGGGCGCATCCGTGTAATGCGAGGCGAATGCGGGCTGCGCAATGCCTGGGTAGCTCGCAACCTGATTTGATCTGGTGGCTCCGGCATCTGGGACGTAGGTGGTCAGTCAAACATGCTAATCGATCTCACGTGGGCCAGTGCCGGGTTCAGCCGACCCAGCTTTGGCAGGTGCGCTTCCAAACTCGTCAGATGAGCCGCGAACCACTTACCGTATACATATTCATGGTTCTTGCCGTATTTAGACATTGACAATATTGCTATGGCTCTTGCAGCTGGGACGGCTTGAAGTCCACTGCCAAGGCTTGAACTGCGCAACGCTGAAAACGGGTCCTGGCGCAGATAGCGAAAGGCGCGTGGTTGATCTAGGAGGACACTATGTAGACGTTAGCAGGCAGCCTCGCGTGGGGGTTAGAGGGCAGGCAGCAATGGAGGGTTTCAGGACTGGGTGTACTGACACGCCTCGAGGAACTGTCACATAGGGCATGGTCTACGCACCTGCTATTCTGATAAGATAGAACAGGTCAGTTGGATAGTGATGAGCTTGTTCAGGTAATGTCAGCGAGATGGCTGTCCGGGCTCGTTGACAGCCAAACGATGATGAGATGTAACCGAAACTGTGGGGCAACGGTCCGCGTCCTTCCCAGTAATACAGAGACAATAGGTTCTTGTTGCAGGCAGATGTTGCGACAAGTAGGTCCGACAAATTGCTGCAGATGTAATGTGAGATAGACTTGGAAACAGTCCTGAAAGGCCTTGTGACCAGCGAAGCCAACAAAAGTAGCCTGCTTAGAGACAAACGATCGGGATGTTCAAGAGTCCGATTCATACGGGAAGCACGGCGGTTTTGAGTCTGTGTCAATACCGGAAGACTCAGGTCTTCGCCCGCTGCAACTCAGACAATCAAAGCTCGCTACCGGGGAAACAGGGAATGGGACTTGTTGCTCTCGCAATTGGAGACTGATTCGGAGCAGATGGCAGGTGCTGAGATGAGTGTGAGTGAAGTGATACGGAAAGCCGCATAAATCGACCTGCATTTTTGATGTGACTGGCGAGTTGACTTACATTTAGGACAAAGGAGCAGAGAGACATGTACCAAGGGCTGACCAATATGCATGAGGCTCGGCAGCCTTGCCGTACGGACAGTATATAGGGTTGCGGGACCACGGAGCTATGACTGTGGAGATAGGCAACAGTTAATACCAAGTAGAGCTGATGTACGGATCGAGCGACGAATCAACCCAATGTTGTGGAAAAGGTACGGGATTGGTCCAACGTCAATGGCGGAGCATAGACGCAGCTGCAAGGAATAGCGAGTGAGTACAGCGAGCTCCTGGGGGCTGGGACGGCTCTTGATGATGACCGATCCCGTCAAACTGGTAGACTAACGGGCCTGTCGATGGTGAGGCACGCCCTCAGAGGCTAGCACTATGACCGTTGAGCACCACGTCGCGCAAAGCTTGACAGTCCCTATGTTCGCATACAGGGATTCAGGCGGTAGTGGAGAGCAGGCGGCTGAAGCCTGTGCACTGAGGCTCTTGCGGGTGGCCTCAGATGGCGCAGCACTGCGAAGTCGCAGTAAGCTGAGCTCCACTGCGAGTGATATGCTCTGGACTGTGATGGTCGCGCGCAGTGGGTCGACCGACACCGCACCAGAATGTAATCCCAAAATGGAAGATGTTCGAATGCTAGAGAGATGGATGGTCTTGGCCAGTACCTGAGATGTGGAGTGGGGTTCTAAGACCTCTGCAATAGCAGGAGGCGCGGATGCGGAGAACCAGGGTCAAAGCCCTCAAACACTACCCGTGAGGCGTCGAAATGTGGAGGAATTGTGATTATCTAGAAGCTCGAACAAGGGATGCAAAGGCGAGCAGTGAAAAGGAGATATGGGAGGGAGATCGGGGTGCTGAATATGGTGAGGTTGACGTATGAGCCGGGCGTAGCAGCATGATTCGCGGGTGCCCAGCGCGGCGGTGACATTAACGATGATATACATGCAGCCCAGCACTCCAGTGAGCATCAGCAGCAAGTCTACAGCCCTTAATGCGGACAGCTGTCAGGGCGAGCTATGAGCCTCACAAGTCCGGGAGATTGGCTGTAGGGCTCAGTGGACAACGAGTGGCCGCAATGACGGCAGATGGCTGTCCATGGCGGCCAATGCATGGCAAGGCTCAGCATGGACCCATATGAGCTTTGTGGTGATGGCATAGTGGCAGGAAGGGAGGGCATTTGTTGGAGTGTGGTGAGCAATGCGCTTCGCTGCCAGCGGTCAAGCGAAGATGCATCTATTCCTGGTGTGGCTTGCAGAACCTTAAATCGCCAGCATCCCTGTCCATCTTGTGCCTCGCCGGGCAGCCACTCTGAACCGCCGCCGCCAGGCACCGCACCGCACCGCAACGCTGCCCACGCACATGCCTCACATTGCGATGCAACTGCTGCTTGCCCGACGGCGATGCGCCGGCAAAGGGAATCGCTCTCGTCCTACGCGGGCGCTTTGCTGCGCTCGTTGTTGTTGTTGTCGACAATGCCGTGGCAGCGTTGTCTGGTTGACCTTCTCATGCGCCATCGCTCTTGCCTCGGTCGGCGCGTCGCAGCTGCCTCGCTCTGTTTGCTTCCCGCCGCATCGGGAGAGAAGCAACGACTCCCGCCCGTCGCTCCTTCCGCGAGATGAGGCTGACTTTACCATGGCTAGTCCCATGCTTCTGACGTCTTCCAATGCCACGGCCTCCCCGATTGTCAGAATATCCCGATCCAAAGTAGCCGATCGTCTTGCAGCCAGGCACTCTGGTGCCGTGAGCATCGTCGCTACAGACACGTCCCTCATCGCCAACGCGACAAACGAACGCGACCAGTTCCAACAGCCTTCCTTGCTCGTTCAAACAATGCCATGTTAGCAGAACATGGTCAGTGTGGCCTCGTAGTATTCTTAGAAAGCTGATGCCGTGTGACCAGCCGCGCTTGCCTCGGAAGAGTGCCTAGCGGAACTCTGGTGGCTGTGTGTAAGCAGCCAGAAGGGGAGCATTAGCATCAGCGCTTCCGCCAAAATACCCCCTCATCAAGCAGGTGTGCCGTCTCTAACATCATCCTTTGTTCACGTCGTTTATCCAGAACCGCAATGCGAAGGCCAGGTGTTCTCTGCAGGGGGCCGCACTCCTCGCACCACGCGTCGTAGGGTACCAGGACCCTGCTTCGTGCTGCCGTTGCCTCCAAAGTACCGAGACCTTTCTGGCCTTGGTCCGCATTAGTCGTCTTACGATATCCTCACCTACTGAAAGTTTCTCATCTCTATAATCCCCCAGGTCCACAGCTTTAAGCGCTCATTTCTTCGCTTCCACCACAACTACTGCTTACAATGTCAGCTCAGCGATACAGAGCTGCCGGCCTCGCTCGGGCGAGCCGACTAGCACATCAGAGGAGAATGTAAGACGGCCGCAAATAACCCTGGATCGGGTGTCGCGCCTTGGACGCTGAGTTCTCAAATTCTGCTCTCCTGTGGTTTGCCCGATCACGGTCGTGATCTCCCGAAATGGATCAATGTGCACACTGCGACGCGACGCGTTTGCCTTCATCATGGCTTGGATACCAATCTATCTGGTATTCCCAACCTACGACGCCATGCTTTGCGCCATTTGTCAACTAGAGCTGTGTACGGGCAATTTGGAATCATCTTTCTAACCATTCCAGGAGGTGAGAAACGTATCGTGGCTTGAACACGCTGTTACGGCTAAAACACTGTCTTCCCACAAGGATATTTGCCATGGAGTCGGGTCTTTGCCTTGGCCACCTGAAACGCGCTTCCGCATCTTCGTGGTACATCAATAAGGGTATGCGGTCAGCCGCTTCGTGTTAGTGGACCCAATCATACAGAGACCGCTGCGAAATCCCAAGACACCATGCTGGTTCTTGCATGCGCATGGGTTGCGCATGTCCTCGAGGTAGAGCCTTGCCGGTCTTTGGTCGCAACGAAGGTCAGCGTGTGCAACCCTACAACGGTCTTCGTACGCGAGCACATCTCGGGCTGTTAACAATGGGCTTGGTTCCACGACCCGAGCACGAGTACCCTCCGTTGTTACATACACTACACCATAACAGATGCCACCCGCTTTAACCAACCCCTGTGCGTCTAACCCCGTGGACTCTTGGGTCGGCCTCCTGCGCAAGCGTATTAATCCTTCTATATCGTAGGCACTTTTACTGCCATGCTCTCACCGTTTGTCACACATCTACTCGCCGAGCAAATGGATAAGGGGTCTCTCCACCCACCTGCCGATAACCAATGGTCAGTCATCGTTACCTATACCCGGATGGTCGGTACCGAGCCAACATGGAACGTATGCAGCTGTCCAAGATGAGCATGGCTGCAGTGACCCACGATAGTATGCTTTGTGTGCGCAGGCGCGGACAGAGACCCGATAGCCGTGACGCAATCCATTCGCAGCACAAGCTCCGTCCTCATCCTGACTGTCGGATACTTCTTACTATCCATTGCACTGGCTTAACACGTATCGCCATGCCGAGCGGCAGAGACCCGAGTACCAGGTCACTACATCGAAAAACCAGATGCGGGGAAAGCTCAGCTCTGATTATGCACCTCCACGAGTAGCTCGCATCGCACCATCGATAGTTTAGTCACCGCAAGACCACCGACAACAACGCAAAGTGTGACGCACTTTGAGGGCGCATTGTCTCCCTGCAACTTCGGCCGAGCGTGCCGCGGACACTACAGGCGTTATGATTGCATCCCCGATTGTGAGACATCTCTTTACCCCAGTGGCTGGTGTGCCATATCTTTCAACGGCTTTGTCTTAGACCTCCCGTCGCTTTGTTTTGAAATCCAGCCATGGACTGAGGTGCATGATCTCTCTGGCGTCTGGGGAAAGCTACCAGTGGGATCTTACAGCAAAAGATCGTCACGCACGCCGATTGTCCCCGCTTGATGCTGACGTTACAGACAACCGGGGTGCAAACCTCTGGTCAGGCCCTTTTTAACATTGGCATATATTATAATATTTTTCCAGTTCTTCCACATACGACCATAGGACACTGAAAATTAGGCTTCCCGTCCGCTCAGCCATATACAAGCAGTGTACCGGCGGATTAGTAGTTAGGTGGGTGACCACTAGCGAATCCCCGCTGTTGTATGTTTTTTGCATCTCATCGATGATGGATGAGATCTTTTTGCCTTTACATGGGGAACGCGAGTGACGTGCTTCGTTTTTATGAATGGTTGATCTGCTACAGCAATAGATCATTGGTGATATGACTGGTTGGTTGCCATCACGTCACTGCACGAATTTCTTGAATTCGTACTGAAGCCATCGTAGTTTGAAAGATTAGAGGCTAGACCGGGCGCGTTCTGCGGCATGCGACCAAAGCGTGCCCCCGACCATGGTCTTGTTTACAGTTCCTAGCAGTCAATCAAGCAGCAATGTTTGTCTGAGAATCCACAAGTTTTGAACGGAACCAATCACTATTCACATTATAACATTGTGCTTCGTGGAATGATTGATTCTTCAGCCTGTACCTTGAAGGTCGCAAGGTCTGTTCAACATAAAGCCTAATTTGCCTTTAAGCTGTCGGCATACTCTCTATAGATTTGCTCGCAACTTTCGTCAAACAACAGTCCCATCCTTGTTGCATTTCCGAACTTCGCCGTCTGCGGCCAACTGTCCAGCAACCTCTTTGCTTCTTCATCCATTTCCTCCCTCAACAGCCCAAGTCTATCCTTCCCGCATACTGCCTCGAACGCTGCGTACATCTCTCCAAGCGTGACACTTATCCCCGGCATGTACACTGCGCGTATATGCGCCGGCATAGCATCCGCGGGAGCCTTCATTACGCGCACAAAATTCTCAATCATGACGCGAGGCGAACATATCATCTGGCGCGCCGAACGGTCGCTGATGGGTACAATACATTCAAGCCCGGCCATGGGCTCTCGAATCATACCGCTCAAAAATGCTGCAGCTGATCGCGAAGGCGCACCCGGGCGCACAACCACGGTTGGTAGACGCACGGCGAAGGCATCGATTAGTCCACGGCGGTTAAGATCATTAATGTGGCACTCCATAATGGCTTTGTGGGTGCCATAGACTCCTATTGGTGTTGCGGGAGTATCGTCTGTAATCGGACCCGATGCCGTATAAGGTGGTCCGTAAACAGCCTGGGTCGAAGCATAGACAATGCGGGGCTTGGAGGCTTGTTGGAGTTGTGAGATGGACGTGAGAACAGAGAGCGTGGCGCCTAGGTTGACTTTGGTAGAGAGTGCAGGGTTCTCTTCGCAGCCGACCGACATTATCCCGTGAAATAGGAAGATGGCCGACCATTGTGGGCGCATAGAAAGGAGTTTGGTGATGTCTGCTTGTGAGGTGAGATCCGCAGCTGTGAGCTCCAGGTTGGATGCCGAAGATGAGATCCCGACTGGCCTCTGGGGTGTTTGGAGATCGGTCAGGACGATGTTGTTAGAGGAATCTTGTGCCAACTTGGCGGCAAGCATGGGGCCCAGGAAGCCTGCGCCGCCGGTGATGAGGATGTTGTTCGGCATTTCTTGGTGGTCTGCGCTTCAATATCTTGAATCAGGTCTGTGGTGATTGAGATTCCAACTCTCTGAAGCTCGCGATCTTGGGTTGAGAGAGCAAGCTAATGTGGGGAAGGAGGGGAGGCCAAGGTTGTTTGCACGAGAAAGATGTGCGCGATGAGAATGCGGGCAACTAAACAGATATACATGACGGTACTCCATGTGCAAGAGGATTACAATCGTAACGTGGAGCATTTCGAGGATCGATGCGAGTCACGTTCGTCTCGAGGCAGAATTGCTTGCAACGACCCACAAATCAAATACGCTAGCCTCCGGAGCCCCCCTCGCTAGCCTGGGGAACCCCACATAACGGTCTTTGTGGAGGTAGAACAAGTGAGATCAAGGTTTCCCGTTCGCTAAGGCCTTGTCAAGACGGCGATTGAATGCACGCAAAGCCCCCATGTCGTCGAAGTATGGCGCGACTGAAATGTGCGCCGCATCCTTCCAGATTCAAATGAATCCTTTGAATGACCACCATGATTTGACCCCGAGACGCTTTCGATACCTCGTACGGACGTTAATGTTGGCTGCCAACTTGGTGTTTTGCTTGACGTCCCAGCTCCATGTATGTAATATCATGCACAACAATCTACCTAGGGTAAAGTTGCTGGCTCAGACGAAGTACAGTGCAATCGTTTTTGGCTTATAACTCATTGTGCTCTACCTCCAGCGGCGGCGATACGAATACTTGATAGACTCAGGATGAACTTCAGTATGCAAAGCATACGAAGCTGCACCATAGGATTTGACAAGAGCTGCATCACTGTCGTTCAGCATCGTGATATGGTCCAACTTCAGGGTCTCCTGGACTAAGTTTTCCAGCTTTGCGATTGCTGCTCGCGGAACTTCACCGACGACAACCACTGCCCGAAGGTCGTCCATCTCATACCACTTATCGCTCGCTACTACTTCTCGGATGGAGCTATGCAGGAAGCTGCGGATACGATCCTCATAACTTGTTGCATCTTCAGTGTGTTACGGTTAGATCAATTCCCACGATTACTCTAGAATCACTACGATGGTGGTTTACATACCTCATTGAAACGAAGCCCGCACTTGAGGCACATCTTTTCAGCAACGTTTGCATAACCATGGTGGTCATATACCATTTCGAAAAGCCTGACATGCATATAGCTTTGTTCGTATTCAACCCCAATGATCAAGTTCACAGGGCCATCCTCGTCACAGTCTTCAGGCGCTCGACCCAACCGATCGCATCGATGAAACAAGTCATAAGCCTCGCAAGCGGCCGCTCCCCCAAATCTTTCGCTGAACGGTCGATCGTCTATTTTTAGTTGATTGAATGGTCTGTCGTCATCATCGGGTGAGGTGCGGATTGCTCGGTAGGCGGCGCACCAAGATGAATGGCTGAAGATCGCAGGGCAAACTAGTGTAGAATATTTGGGTCTATGTCCGAGAGATTCGGTCAAGTCCCTCGTAATGCCAGCGATAGCAGTGCGAAACGTGGATATTGCAGCCTTGCTACATTCCCATGGCTCGTTGAATCTATCTTGCGGATCGAATTGGCTTATGGTGTTGTCAAAGTACGAGAGATACTCGGAGGTGGCCTGGTATGTCCGTAGTTCGACACGACCTGAAGAGTTGACTCGTGAAGCTATGATAGACGTTGGGTTTAACGTCAGGGCGAAGGGCCCTTGCCGTTGAGAGTGATGAGCACTCGCCAAGATGGGTAATAGGTATGGCGCAAAGAGAAGGACTTTCGATAGAAACAACATGATCGTGGGTTTATGATATCCTACGAAGATGACTTGTGTGTAGTCAGTGCGTTCGTTGGGTTTTCCTCTGCGCCGCAGCCACCTACGTACATAGGTAGCGCCGGCTACAACCGTGCCACCTTGAAGCTCACACCCGTTGAGATCTCTAGCGTTCATATCGCTCCGTGAGTGATCCGCTAGTATTGTATAAGCAAGAAACTCCGATAGAAAGACATGCTTTTCTCTTGGATACCTAGTTATGAACAAAACTCATACTCGTCTCAAATCCCGACCTATCTATTCCCTCCCCTTCAACTCCTCCAACCTTTCAACCAACTTCTCCCACCCAGCACTATCTTCCCAGTTGTCCTTACCCTTACCCATGACACTCCTCACCGCACTCCTTGACTTGAACTTCCAGTCCTTGGCCACCAGCTCCCCACTTCCAGCCGCCAGACCCTCGGTGCGCTCACGCGGTCCCAAAGTCTCATAGGCATCCAGTAGATCCATCGTCATCTCAACAACGGCATTCCACTCTACTTCGGTACCAGATTCCCATTTCGGCTGACTCGTCACTGCTCGCCACGCCTTCTCGTGACATTCTAGTGCCGAACTCGGTCGCTTGGTGTGCGTGTACAGTGTTGCTAGAATGATCCATAGTTTGGGCGATACGGTGATGAGAGGCTTGATGTGTTTCTCGATGAGGTCGTTTACGAGGCGGGGGAGACCAGGACGTGAAATATCAAACTCTTCTTCGCTGGAAACGACGTGCTTGACTAGCATGTCGATGACTTCTGCATCAACGCACTTTTCGCCTTCGGTGGAGCCGCGGAGCTCACAGATACGGCGTTGTGCAGTTACGACGTCGGACCAAGAGGGTGGGTTGGTGGAGGCGCTGACGGCGAGGACATTATTCCAAATACGGTAGTTGTCGTGCTTGATGGTGGCGGCGCGTTTGAAAGCCTTGAGAGCGTCGGTACGAGGATGGTTTGTCACTCTTGTCTCTTGCAGCTCGCCATCCTCGGTTTCCTGAATCCTGGGCTTGAGGTGCAGAAGAGAGGCGGCGAGGTTGCTCCATGCTTCGGCGTCCTGGTCGTCGAGTTGGACGCAGCGGGAAAACGCCTCAACGGCGTTCTTGAATTGGAGGGTTTCGAGGTATGCGCATCCGAGGGCGAACCATGCGGGATGGTAGAGCGAGTTGATCTTGAGTGAAAGCTCGTAGGCTTCTACGGCTTTCTCGTAGTTGCGTGCTGCGATGTAGCGTTGACCAAGAGATCGTTGAGCGCGCGCGTAACGTTTGCCCGAGACATCCCAAGCCTTCTCATACATGGAGAGATCGTTGTCAATGTCACCCAGGATACAGTAATAACGTGGTGCTTCGGCTGGCGGTGGGTCCCGTTCAGCACCCTCCCACTTCTCCTCGTCGAGATCCACGTTCTCATCATCGCCATTGGTAGCATGGAATAGTTGTCTTCGGATCATCTTACGCGCCCTCTCTTCCTTCTCGGTGGCTGCATAGCACAGGGCTGCTTCGGCCCACATCTCCAATCTCTCGTAGATCTCGAGCGCAGATCGCAAACCACCTAGAGCGACCCATCGAGCAGCAAGCTCAGACTCTAGCTCCCAACGTGATGGTGAACAGAGAGGGAAGATGTAGCGAAGGCGCTCTTCAACAGATGCCGCCTCGCTGTCCTTCGCCTGTGGAAGGAAAGAAGTGATCTTCTCGCCCGTCTCAGCATCAGTGGTCGCGTCGCCAGAAGTCTCCGCGATAACTTGATCCACAAGTGCTTGCAGTTGAAGCAATCCTCGCTCCATGGTCCGCGACTTGTAGCCTTCGATGCGACTGCGTACAAGGAGAGCTTGGGTGTAAACTTGCCAGTTCGAGCTGCCGCCCTCTAGTACCCTGGTAGCGTACGGCTCGGTTTGTTCTCTTGTAAGACCATCGGCAGGGTTCGTGTTCTTGATGCTCTCAGCCAGCGAGAGCATGATGACAGAATCCAGTGGATCGAGTAGAGGTTGGTTTGATGGGTCCATGGATGTAAGAGATGATGGTAGAGAAGACTCATCCTTGATCTCCATGGACGCAGTATCGTTGGTGAAGGAAATAGACTCAAGCAAGGTATCGTCGTTCAGGTCCAAGGCTTTTGGTTTTGAGCTTGCGTCTGCTGCGTCATTGGTTTCCGACCCTGCACTTCGGGCGAGTACGATGAGCTGGCTAGTATCTTTCTGCTGGAACTTCGTTCTCTTTCCCATGAGTCCAGTCAATGCAAATTCGAACTTGCGTTCTGAGGTTGCCTGATCAAGATCCGCCTTAGCTTTTTTATCCAGACCATGATGCGTATGGACCGCTGCTCGTTCCAGTAGGAAGCTAGGATGCAAGTCCTTGATCTCCCTGCTCTTATCTGAGTTGTGAATCAAATCTTCTACGACCTTCAAGTCGTCATAGATGGCATCTTGTAGACTGGGTGCCGACTCGCTGAGCAGTCTCTGATGGACGAAATTGGCCCTGAGGCGCGCCCACGCCGCGGCCGGAATGTTCTTTCGAATAGCCGGGCTGATGAGGATAGTTTGTGCGAGGCACAGTAGCTCGATGTTTGGTGTAAGTCTGTATGCTGCAACACCATCTGTGCTCAGCGATGCAACGAGATCTGCCCTTGCTTTGCTGAGGGCTTTTACATCGCCTGTGATGTCTTCCGATAAAAGTGTTTCGGCAGACTTGAAAGGTAGTGGCGGTCCAGTAACATTCGACTGCAGAAATGCATATAACGCAGCGACCGCAATCAGGAGGTATGTATGTTGTTTGTATGCTGCTGTTTCTTGTATTGAACCCGAATCCACTTCATTCTGTTTTGACAGGAGTAGTCCAAGGCGGCGAAAGATATAGTCGTTCCAGACAGCGAAATCGCCTCTTCTGACGTCCTTGGTGGCTTCATTGTCCTCACGGCCTAGAAGGAGTTGCGCTTCCGGTAGTTGGAGCACCTCCAAAAAATCCCCGGATTCGGTTGCCTTGATAGTGGTTTCAAGCACTGCCGCAAGTTCGTCCGGCAACGAACTGCGGAAGAAACTCAAAAAGACGTCAGCCATGTTTGGTGATATCGATTAATGTAAGATTGGGGGTGGGACAGTATCGGGCGCAAGGCTATAGAGGCTTGCACAATAAGTCATTCACAGATTCCAATAATTTTGATACTCATAGCGTGGTTGCGGGGCTGCTTTTGGAATTTGCGGCGATGAGTAAGTCAGTGGAGAAAAAGGGCTGTCTGGTGGCACGCCTAACTATTTTGGGCGAACAGGGTCTGGTCCACATCTGCATGCAAGACATTAGTTCTCTCTTTGCCGATGCAAATCCGACTATCAAGGCCGCTGTCATCATGCAGCAGCTAATCTGAAAATGCGAAATCTGGATACGATCAAATGTAGCTTTGAGGTGGAAGAGTGGATGCTTGGCTTGATGAATAGGAATACGATTGTCCAGAGGTATTACTACAACCTTACCATCACCTGCATGCGCGCGGCATCTTTAGGCCGGCAACGCAGTATACGTGCGCCCCGTCTAGTCTGAGTCGCTGCTAGAGCTAGAGCTGCTCTTGCCGCCCCTGCTACGGCTCCTGCTATGGCTCCTGTGCTTGTGACCATGGCCATGCGAGCTATGGTGCGAATGATGCGAAGACCCATGGTGGGAGCCATGCTCAGAGCTACCATGCTTCTTGTGCTTCTTGTGCTTCTTGTCCTTCCTAGAATCATGTCAGATCGTGTCCGCTGTAGTGCGGGAGTTTGTATTCAGCTTACTTGTCAGGTATGAGGCTGGCGCCAACTGCTCCCAACAGCGCACCTCCTATGGTGCCCAGCGCTCCGCCTCCAAGTTTGTTGCCAACAAATGCGCCGCCCGCGCCGCCCAAGAGGGACGAACCAAGTCCACGGTCGCCTTCAGCTGGACCGCCGGGCGCACCGGGTTGGCCATATGCTGGCGCACCATAGCCCTGTTGTGGGTCGTGGTAGCCCTGTTGCTGATGCGCTCCATACTGTTGGTTGGGATCATGATAGCCTTGCTGCGGGTGTGGCTGCGGTGGGTAGGGAGAAGTGCTGCGGTTTGGGTCGTAGCCTTGCTGGTACTGCTCGTGCTGAGGAGCACCATAGCCGTGTTGGGGAGGCTGCGCGTAGGGATCGTGCGATGGTGGAGGGTACTGGCTCTTCGAGGACATTAGCACTTGTAGCATGGTAGATGGAATGCGCCGATAGAGCGCAAGAGTGCTGACCTGGCCTTGGGGGTAAGGGCTGTGATGTCCTTGACCGTACTGGTCGTGCGGTTGTTGTCCATACGCCTGGCCCTGCAGAGGGTAGCCCTGATTCTGCTGTCCATAGCCATGCTGTTGCTGCTGCTGGTATGCGTTGTCGTGGCTGTAGCCGTAGCCTTGACCGTGGCCTTGGCCCTGACCGTAGTAATCCTGACCCGACATGTTGCTCTTGAAAGTTCTTTCCAGAAGTCTCAATAATAACAGGGTAAACAAAGTCTAGGTAGAAGCAGTGTGGCAGATAGCCGGTCGGGTCTACAGCGGGGGAGGGGCAGGATGGCAGATGGTCGGGCCAGTGCGATCGCGGCATCACACGCGCGCTTTAAGTGTGACATGTCCTCGCATGGCGCTGACTGCGCGCGCCACATGTTTACGAACGTCCGTCATGCCTAATGGGTTCGACATGGGTCTCATCGCGGCTGAGCTGTGAGCGATTTGGTGATGTGGACTTCGGACATGACCGGAGATTTGGCTGAGGGGCGCAGCACTGACCACTGGCCATCCTTCGCTCCACTCGCGCAGCTGAGATTACTTTCACCGCAACAAACGCGGTTGGAAGCATCTCGAATAGGTATAAGACTTGCTAATGTTGCGGGATTAACTTCAGCCGGATCTACTGCAATCTTGTTGTCTAATGCTTAGGGGGTTTCTTTGGACGACAGCTCCCTCGCGTTACTCCTTCCATCTCTTCCATCTAGGTATTCAGAAGGTTATCGTTGAAACGCTCGGTATACCCCACTATTAAATCGTTCTATCACTGAAGCTTTCTCAGAAGATGGGACACCATCGATGAAATGTTCGACTTTGAAGCCTTGATACCGAATATCCGTGGGATAACAATTCCAACATGACCCCAAAAGACTCAACAGACAGCATATATTGGATGCTTGCGACTGTGTCAGGCAGATTCATGGTTATATAACCAGGAGTATGCTAATTTTGAAACAATAGTCATTTGAACGTCCCCAAAGCTGGTAGTATCCGTCACATACATGCTTTGCCTGCTAGAAACACCCTACAAAGTCCTACATTTGTTGCTTTCTCATCCACTGTCCTTCCCACTAGCAGTCTTTCCTCATCAAAAAACAAATACAATAGTGCATCCGATGATGTTCAGCGCTGTTTGGGCAGACCAGAATCACGTCATTAATGCTCCATGTCTTATATATTTTAGCTCTTTTTCTGAAGAAACTGTTTGCTAGAACCGTCCGCGACCAGTCTGAACAGTCAAGAATGCAGATCTATCAAATAACTCAAAGCGAATTGATTTGAAAAACGCCTCTGTACGCAGCCGAACAAAATACCGATGGTCTTCCTCTTTTCTTACTTACCGCCGGACCGCGAAACACCAGAGCCAGTGGCTTACTGCCAGTTTGAAACACCAAAACTCACGAGACCAAACTTGGTGGTGGTCGTCCAATCCTGCAGATATGCAGACGACAGCCAAGTCGATTTTTGTCGATAAGATATCCACATCGAGCGGACTAGAAAGGCTTGAGAGCGAAAGCGAAGATCTCAAGCGAGGACAGTTCGTCGAAAGAGCATACATGAACGTGGCTGAGCATCTCCGACTTTAGCGTATTGGTTGCTTCTTCCAGTTTGAAGACTGATACTCAGTAGGACGTATGTCTCTAGTCGGCCTTGGAGAAGATAGGAATTTATCTGCAACACATCTGCACAACCATAGGTAATCACTATATTCACATATAGGGCGGTAGCTCGCAGTCCACGACATCTTTCACACAACCTGGCGTCGACGCGACATCTACTGCAGACACGCCTACTAGCGATGTGACGGATCGGTACAAGCGTACTGTGAGCAACTCTGACATGTCAAAATCCGGGGTATCGATAAGAAGTGGGGGTTGCCCGGAGCGCAGCATGGCTGAAGCGACAATTCACGACGTCCGGAAGGTTGACGCAGAGGAAGAATGTTGTGTTGCTAGAATCACATCGTTGGTTGAATTTCCCGCGTATATAACCAGCATCGCCTCTGGGCAGAGATACCATGACTAATTCCGTGGCTAGGGAAAGCTGTACCGATGTACTGCAACAGCGGAAGGGCCAAGTTTGATACGTAATGTGTTGTGCGTGGACGCGGCCTCGGAAGGCATTGCCTTCTCTGATGTTTTGGGCAGAGTGTTGCCCGGTGATGGCTCGGTGGACGTCTGGACAAGGTGGCAAGGGTCCAGAAATGCTTGCCGCCTCGACTTCGGCAGAATCGGGGAGGTGGTTTGGGATAAGTCTGGAGCCTCCGCTAAAATGGCCGTAGCGCGACGACTTGGCAAGGCTGTACGAACAGTAACCGGCAAGGCTACCGCATAGTATGGGAACACCCGTATGTAGACTGAGCTAGAAGAAAGTTGAGTTCTACGGCGCTCAACGACCGAGATGGAAGATTTTGCAGACATGAGACGTACGGGTGCCGTGCTTGATATGAGTACTATGTGAATGCTGACAATGGCGGTCGGGTTGGATTAGTGCAGTCCCTGATCTTCAGCGCTGCATTTCCCGCGGCTCCCAACGGTTGGATGCATGTCGTTGGTCACGGTGTTTCGAGAAGGCGGTCAGCGCGCCTGGCTCAAACTCGCCACAAATAGAAGGGCTTTTGCAACGTGGGCTGCGACATGGCTCACGGCGGCGGCAATGCTGCTGCCCCTCTGCCACCAGTAAATAGAGAGGACAATTGACAGGTGGTAACGAAAAACTGGGGAAGTGCGGCAACAGCGAAATCTCTGGCGTTCGCTCGGGCTCGAATGAAATCATGGGCAATTGCGAGAAGGCGAGGTGTCCGGTTCCTCGCCGCACGGGCCAGTCCTGGAGTGCACGCTAATCTTATCGGCGCCCTGGCCTGGAGAAATTTCTCAAAGCGAGCGAGACAGCCCACCAAGGCATAAAAAGCCCCTCCATAACCTTTACTGCCACCTCTCCACACTCACTCTCCCTCTGGGCTGACCCAAAGTACTTTCCCTTCTTTGTGTCGTTGCGTCAGGTATTAGAAAGGTTGCGAGTCACGTTTCTCGCGCCTGTTGTTTGATACCCCCGGATAGATTCACTCTATCTTTTCACGCCAAAAGTTTTTTAGGCCCCGCCGCCTAAGTCCATATAAGGACCACCGCCCCTCCACCCACCTTCTTTCTACACACCTCTCCCCCTCCACACATCACCGACAAAATGGCGCCTGCTGCTTCGCACGATGCCAAGGACATCAAGTCCGAGAACTCCAAGTCGCTCAAGGCGCTTGAGGAGATGATGCAGAAGTTGACCGTGTCCAAGGCCCAGGACGAGATCAACGCCTCTGCTCAGGCCATCGCCACCTTCATCAACGGCGACATTGAGGAGGCTGACGCTCCCACCAAGTATGTTCCCCCCTTCTGCCTCTCGCTTGCCACGTTGCAGTCTCTAACAACTCGCCCAGGGCTGTCCAGGTGCTTAAGAAGCAACTTGCCAGCAAGAAGGATGCCGTCGCCCGTGAGCGCGCTCTCGATGCCATCCGTGCTATCGCCCAGCACTCGCACGTCTCCGCCTCTGTCGAGCCCTACCTCGTTTCTCTCCTGCCGGACGTGCTGGCCGCGGTCGGTGACAAGATGAGCGGCGTCAAGGTCGCTGCTCAGACCGCCGCCGAGTCCATCGTCAGCGCCGCCAACCCCAACGCCGTCAAGGCCATCATCCCCCACATCATCCACTCGCTGGAGAACGCACAAAAGTGGCCCGAGAAGATGACCGACCTCAAGTGCATCGAGGTCCTCACCAAGAGCGCCCCCGCACAGATGGCTTTCCGTGTCCCCGACCTGATTCCCGTCATCTCGGGTGCCATGTGGGACACCAAGCCTGAGGTCAAGAAGGCTGCCTACGCCACCATGGAGGTTCTTTGCTCCTTGATCTCCAACAAGGATATCGAGCGCTTCATTCCCGAGCTCATCAAGTGTATCGCTAAGCCTGAGAACGTCCCCGAGACCGTTCACTTGCTCGGTGCCACCACTTTCGTCACTGACGTCCACGAGCCCACCCTCGCCATCATGGTTCCCCTGCTTGAGCGTGGTCTCGTCGAGCGCGAGACTGCCATCAAGCGTAAGTCTGCCGTCATTATCGACAACATGTGCAAGCTTGTCGAGGACCCCCAGATTGTCGCCGCTTTCTTGCCCCGTCTCATGCCCGCGCTTGAGAAGAACTACGACAACTTGGCTGACCCCGAGGCTCGTGAGAAGACCCGCCAGGGTCTCGACACCCTCATCCGTGTTGGTCACGTCGAGAACGGCAAGGCTCCCGAGATCGAGAAGTCTGGTGACATCTCCACCATCGCCAACCACCTCAAGGCTGCCATCCCCTCCAGCATCAAGATCGACGACCGTTTCACCCCTGTCGTCAACTACGTTGGTGCCATTGGTGGTCAGCTGATCGACGAGAAGGACTACGAGCCTCTGAACTGGCAGGCTAACGCCGGTCCTTTCGTTGCCGTCCTTGTCGGCGACGAGAAGGCCAAGGAGGTCACTGAGGACACCCGCAAGCGATCTCTCCCCGGTGCCGCTGCTGAGCGCGCCGTTGAGCCCGATGAGGAGGAGGGCGAGGACCTCTGCAACTGCACATTCAACTTGGCCTACGGTGCTAAGATTCTGCTCAACCAGACCCATCTCCGTCTCAAGCGTGGTCAGCGTTACGGTCTCCTTGGACCCAACGGTTCCGGAAAGACCACCCTCATGCGCGCTATCAACAACGAGCAGGTCGAGGGTTTCCCCAAGCAAAACGAGGTCAAGACCGTGTACGTCGAGCACGACTTGGACTCTGCTGACACTGAGATGACCGTTATTGAGTGGACCATGAACAAGCTCAAGGCCGTCGGTGTCGAGACCCCCGAGTCTGAGGTCAAGTCTACCCTCAACGAGTTCGGTTTCACCGACGCCATGTACAACGGTACCATTGGTGCCCTTTCTGGTGGATGGAAGATGAAGCTTGCTCTCGCTCGTGCCGTCTTCGAGAAGCCCGACATTCTGTTGCTCGACGAGCCCACCAACCACTTGGACGTCAAGAACGTCAAGTGGCTCGAGGACTACCTCACCAGCTCTCCTTGCACATCCATTGTCATCTCCCACGACAGCAAGTTCTTGAACAACGTCATTCAGCACGTCATCCACTACGAGCGCTTCAAGCTTAAGCGCTACCGTGGT